AAAAACCGCCAACTTCAGACCCCAGAAAAAACCGCCAACTTCACATTAATTTATTTTTCACTAGCAATTATTTCAATTGTCTCTAGCAATGTTCACTTGTTCATAACAGATAATGGATATCTTGGAACCTGACACTGTATGGGTAAGTGGTCGTCGTTACAGATATTTCGAGAGTAATTTCTGGTCGAACGAGCAAACCACACCGTATGAAGAACATTGTCAACCGGAAATGAACGAGATAACACCGGAGACGAGTGAAAACGATTCAATTCCCATCGAGGAAATTGACGGTGGAAAATTCCGCCACATCGTGGACATCCCCAGGTACATTTTAAAATCAATACACATTTATCTAAAAAATATATTCCCGAGTCCTCCACTGGAGCCACTGAATCTAATTATTTTTACTGAATATTTATTTGGCATTTCAGTGCATTTTATGGACACATCATGGGTTGTCAAGGGGCCACAAAGAAAAAATTGGAGATGGAAACGAAAACAACAGTGAGAGTTCCCTACAAAAATTCCTCAGACCCTCTGACGATCACTGGAGTGACTGCAAGGGATATCATCTCGTGTCGAAACAGGATGGATTTATTGGTGGAAAAGGCGAAAATTAAAATGCCACCCACTCATTTCGTGTCGATTCCCCTGAACACAGAGGAAATAATCCAGAGTTACGAGAGATTTAGGGAACGAATTGTCAACGATCCGGATTTTAAAAATATGAGGATCGACGAGAAAATGTTCGTTAAACCGACTACATTGCATGTAACGATTGGAATGCTCCTCTTGCTGGACGAGAAGACGACGAAAGAAGCTGCAGATGTCCTCAACGAATGTGTCGAGACAATAGTCAAGTAAGTTAATTCTTCGTAACAAAAAAATAGTTATTAATTAGAATAATCATTTATTTCAATATTTTTTATTGCAGACCGATTATTAAGGGGCTCAGCAAGCCTTTGGTGGTGAAAATACAAGGGGTGGACTGCATGAATGACGATCCAGAGAAGGTAACAGTCGTCTATGGAACAATTCCAACGAACGAGACACTCCAGGAAATGGCAAATAAAATATTTCAATTCTTCATTCAAAAACGTAACATCAATCACCAGTGATTCCTTATGGATATTCAAGATAAATATAATTTATAATTTTTATGGAATTTTTAGAACTGATGAAGGTCACTTACACAGAAAATGTCAAACTACACATGACTCTGATAAAATCGAGTAAAGTAGTCCCCATAGATCAGAGAAGAGGAAGTCGCAAAATTGATTTTAATGCTCGAGAGATATTATCGGTGAGTTTTATCACTCCACGACTCAAATTAATATAATCACTGTTTTTTTTTTATTTATTATTTCCAGACCTTCAAGGACTACAACTTTGGGGAAATGGAGTTGAAGCACTTGGAGATATGCCACAGGCATTCGAAAAACGACGATGGCTCATACAAAACCATTGCAAAAGTCGAATTATAAAACAGAGAGGCATTCTAATAAAAAAAAGAGTACAACTGTCACTGAGATATTCCCCCTCCACAGTTTCATTCGAGAATAAAATAGAGGTGTTTGAAAGATATTATTCATTTATTGTTGGAATGCTGATTGATAATTGTACAATTTTTTTCAAAAGTGATTAGAATTCAAATATTAAAGTGATCGGTGGGTCGTCACTCATCATCATTTGGACCTGAAGTTTGAGTTCCGACAGATCTGAAATATTTTCCATTAGAATCGATTCTCGTAAAAACAACCCCAGCTATGGAACTAGCCCCTCCTCCAGTGGCTGAACCTAGTGCAGCAACAGATTCCAGAATAGTTCCAGTAGCTCCAGCACTCTGGAGAACAGCAACAGCTTATCCAGTAGCTAACTGATAACGTATTGGCGCAGTAAATATTCATCTCGGAGAAAAGCATGTCGGGGGATTTATTTCAACGCTCGAGAGGAAATATCGGTGAGTGTTATCACTGCACGGCTCAAATTTATAAACATCTCAATTTTTTTTTATTAATACAATTGTTTTTCTGTTGATTGTTTTCAGACCCTTGGAGGAAACAATTGCAGCAGTCGAATTAAAAATCCACTATTGGAACATCGGATTGCAGTCAATTATCTCAATCATCATAAATTTCGGTAATTATTGAATTTGTGAATTACTCTCTTTTCTCAAGAATGCGTATATAGCTTTAGAGTCTTGGTTACTGGAATATTCCTTGTAATTGTTTAGAATAGACAAATGAATATTTCTCAACAATGTCTTATTATTCTGTATTCATTTATATGAACTCAATGCTGCAATAATTTATTCATCAGAAATTCAATAACTTTTCTATTTTTCCACTCATGTTCTAGGTTCTCGCGACGGATTCGCAGTTCTCCAGGTAGCAGAGCAAAAGCATATCAACGGCGATGGCATGACTTTTAGAGAAAACATAAACCACTGGAGAAGTCGGTAAATAAACGTCCATACCTTCCTCCAGGAGGTCTCCACCACGTGCCAAATGCGCCTGCACCTGGATAACAGCTGGAAACAATGTTTACAGACAATTCCAAGCAAATAATGATCATAAAAACATCATATGAATTAATTATAATATGTAAAACTGAATTGTACTGTTTTATAAATGCGTGTTCATAAGTAAGAACGAATAAAAATAAATAAATCATAATTATTGGTGTTATTATTATTATTCCTATCCGAATTATGATTATTATTGTCAGTACCTGCGCCATCTCAGCTCCTATGGGTCGTAGAGCAAAATCCTTGAAAAATAGCCTTAACCCTAGACTCT